CGGTCTTGTCACAAGGTTTTGTCAAACTTGTTTAGTCGTTGAGAAATTGGAATTGACTCACAGGGTACCTTTATATATTGACTCGACAAAATTCAAGATCGATGATTTATTATGACTTTCGAAGTGGTTTATCACAAAAACAGTGTGTTAACCTGATGATTTCTGCATTTGGTGATGAAGCCCCATCCAAAACTACAATTTATCGCTGGTTTGCTGAATTTCAACGTGGACGTGTCAAGCTCAGTGTTGATCCCCGTCAAGGTCGTCCGAAAACTGCAGTCACCCAAGAAAACGTTGATGCTGTGCGTAAGCTGATTGAGGATGATCAACATGTGACATACCGCGAAATTCAGGCAACTTTAGACATTGGCATGAGTCAAATACAAATAATCTTGCATGAACAATTAGGTGTAAAAAAGTTGTTTTCCCGATGGATACCGTATTCGCTCTGTGAAGAGCAAAAAGCGGCTCGCGTTACTTGGTGCGTCAGAACTCTCGAAAGATTCCACGCAGGATCCTCAAATGCTGTATACAACATCGTATCAGGTGACGAATCCTGGATATACGCGTACGAACCCGAAACAAAAAACCAGTCACGAGTTTGGGTGTTCGAAAATGAGTTAAAGCCAACAAAAATTGTTCGTTCACGGAGTGTTGCATGGTGGCCACGTTTGTCTCCAAAACCGGCCATGTTACGACTATTCCTCTTGAGGGACAAAGAACGGTTAATGCAGAATGGTATGCTAGCATTTGTTTGCCACAGGTCGTTTCTGAACTCCGTAATGAAATCTGCAACCGCCTCATCATTCTCCATCACGACAATGCGAGTTCTCACACCGCACACAAAACCATTGAGATTACTACGTACATTATATCTCAATGCACAGAACAAAAGAGTTTTTAGAGCAAGAAAACATAGAATTATTAGACCATCCGCCGTACAGCCCCGACCTAAGCCCTAATGATTTCTAGACTTTCCCTAAAATAAATAATAAATTGCGTGGACAGAGATTTTCATCACATGAAAAAGCTGTGGACGCCTACAAAACGGCCATTTTGGAGACCCCAAATTCCGAATGGAATGGTTGCTTCAATGATTGGTTCCATCGTATGGAAAAATGTGTCAAATTTCGCGGAGAATACTTCGAAAAGCAATAAATACATTTTTAAATAGTAATGTTGTGTCACTTCCTTGATTCCCGAAATTTTCAGTGCCGCCAGATCTTCTTGACCGTGCATAATAAAATGTTCGGTTATGCATATTACATAAATTTTTTCGACTTATCGTTTGTTTCTTGTAGATGAAATATAAGTAAATCTGCTTTGTTCAAAAGTCCAGCGATATTTTGGTGTAGACTTCGTACACTATTACTATTATGAAAGAAAAAAAAATCCATATCATTGGTGGTTACACCCAAAGAGAATATAATCACTACGTTTAGTTACACCTACGTCATTGAAGTTATTTTGTAGTTTCTTAGATGTCATATTGGTAGTCTTGAATGTTTTTATGTGTTTGTTTATAAAATATCTAATTTATGATTTATGTTTATATCATAATAATAAAGAAATCTGCAAGCGCTTATTTAATTACCGACTCTTTTTAGTGTAGCAATATTGTTCGCGACGGCCTAATAACTTTAAGAAACAAAGTGATGAAAGAATATTGTTTTGTATTAAGGATGATTCACGCTACAACGTGTCGCCACCGGGCCGTGCCCGGCCGGAACAAGTCCACCGTGCGCTGGCCGGGCCAGTCATTCATGTTACACCGGGCTGTTTGCACGACCGTGGCTTATGCACGACTCTGTGTTATGTGGTTTTTGTCAGCTAGTGATTTCATCTGTCGATAGACTTCACGCTTACATAAATATGCAATTTTCACAATTTGAATTGGCAGAAGCAATATTCTAAAATACCTACTACAAACCGATAATCCCACTCACATGTACTTACATGTTGTCGTAAAGTAATTAGTGACACTTGAATAACTATTATAAATGTAAATTGAAATAAAAGTTACAACTTACCAGATTGTTTTATTTCGTCCGAAATGGTTTTCCAAATAATATTTTTGTATTTGTTATCTAAATACTTAGGATGGCTCATATCGTAAATCACAGGGTACTTGCGCACACATTCTAATAATTTTTCATCGTCCATTTTGCTGTTGAGCTGCTCACTTCACTAAGATTTGACGTTGACTGCTCTCCGGGCGCCCGGGCGCATATGTTCATGTTACAACGTGTCGGGGCCGGACCGTGCCGGAGCCGGGAAACAATACCCACCGACATTTCAACGCCGTGCCCCGGCCAAGTCCCGGCGGCGTACGGCCGGGGCACGGCCGGGCCACGGTCAGGCATGAATCGCTTCATACAAAAAGTACACCATAATGTTTGACCGTGCCCCGGCCGGGACACGGCCCGGCCGCGCCACGTAGTAGCGTGAATCACCTATAAAAGCATTGAGATATAATGTACTACGTTAAAAGTGAAATTACCAACGAAATCGAGTGAATAGTGTGTTAATATAGTTTTACAGCATGTTTATAGCTCTTAAAATATTTGTATAGAATGTCGTTTTGATAGTAGTTAATATAAACAACTTTAATTGTACTGGGTGATTCAAGTAGAGATACTTTTTTCAAAAGCCTTTTTTTTACAGATCACGTGTGAGTCGTGTCATGTTGTCATGTTATTTTTGTTTAGTATTGTTTGGCATTTCATAATGGAAAGACTTACGCCTGAACAACGTTTACAAATCGTTTAACTTTATTACGAAAATTCACGTTCTGTGAGGAATGTGTTTCGTGCACTTCGCTCAACATATGGTCAACATAATCGACCTACTGAGCGTACTATTCGCAACACCATCACCCATTTTGAGACCCAGCATTCATAATTGGATAATATTCGACCGAATAGACCATGTCCAGCACGCTGTGAAGAAAATATAGCGGCCGTAGCTGAGAGTGTACACGAAGACCGTGGAGAGTCGATTCGGCGCCGTTCGCAGCAACTCGGACTGACGTATGGAACGACTTGGCGCATTTTAAGTCGAGATCTTAAATTGAAAGCGTACAAAATACAGCTTGTGCAACAACTGAAGCCGCTCGACCTTCCCAAGCGGTATCGCTTCGCTCTATGGGCTCTTGAAAAGTTCCAAGAAGATCCGACGTTTTCGAGGCAAATTTTGTTTAGCGATGAGGCCCATTTCTGGCTCAATGGGTATGTAAACAAACAAAATTGCCGCATTTGGGACAAAGAGCAACCTGAAGAAATTCAAGAACTGCCACTTCATCCAGAAAAAACAACGGTTTCGTGTGGTTTGTGAACCGGTGGAATCATCGGTCCATATTTCTTTAAAAATGATGCCGGTGCGAACGTAACCGTCAATGGCGACCGTTATCGTGCCATGATAACCGACTATTTGATGCCTGAAATTGAAGCTCGTGATCTCGGCGCCATTTGGTTTCAGCAAGACGGTGCCACTTCCCACACATCGCATCAATCAATGGATTTATTGAGAGAACATTTCGGTGAGCACATAATTTCACGTTTTGGGCCGGTCGATTGGCCACCAAGATCGTGTGATATTTGACCGTTAGACTTTTTCCTGTGGGGCTATGTAAAGTTTAAAGTTTATGCGGACAAACCCGCTTCGATTCAGGCCTTGGAGGAAAACATCACGCGTGTCATTCGCTAGTTACCAGTCGAAATGCTCGAACGAGTCAACGAAAATTGGCCTCAACGGATGGACCATCTGCGACGTAGCAACGGCCAACATTTGATAGATATAATCTTCAAAAAATAAATGCCAAAGAATTTTCTTTCAAATGATAATAAACATTCTTCATTAAATTTAAATTTTCTGTGTTTTTTTCTTTAAAAAAGTAGGGAACCTCGAAATGGATCACGCCTTATAAGAAAAAATCGACCAATCACAGCGCGTCGTATCGTAGAACTTTCTAGAAGTTTTAATAAACTGCGTAATAGTTGATACTGAAAATAATGAAAATAATTTATGTTCCGAAAGAGTTATAAATATGATATTGAATTAGCACAAGGTATATAGATTAAAGAAGTGAAGAAATATTTTGTATAATTATTTGTACGTGGTAGAGCCATGCTGCAGCTATATTAGTGGTATAGCTTAGATTGCTGTAGCACGAATGGGTCGGCTCGACCGGCGAAGGACCACGCTCTCACAGAATAACAGCATAAAATGGCAGTTTGACACTGCTGTGTTTCGTATGGTGAGTGTAGAGAACCGGAGACCCATTTTACTGGAAAAGAGGCATTCCATCTTAGTCCTCACGGGTGACAACGCATCTGCATTTTGATTCTATATTGAGGATAGATGTAGATGTCTATGGGTCACAGCAACCACTTACCATCAGGTGGACTGTGTGGTCGTTTGTTACCCTTATTCTATAAAAATAAATTAAACGCATTTGGTAGTTATAGAAAAATTAAAGAATTAACGTATCCAAATGTTATGAAAATTAGGGACATTTCGTTTTAATAACTTTTTGAAATATTAATGTATTGTAAAACCTAATAAAGGACCAAAATGCCGATTTGATGATGTATAGCATGTTAGTGTAGAAATTGATCTTGTATAGAAAATATTGTAATTTATGCCAATTGTATAGTGAAAATTTTGTGCAATAAACAGGCAAAACGGAAAATGGCAAGCGGCTCACTGAAGGTATAGCCAAAGTCTACCTTAGGGGCTCGGGACCCAGCAACGTTGTATTATGAAGAACTACCAGTGGCAACCAGCAGTAGTGTGAAGAACTACCAGTGACAAGCAGTAGTATCCGGTAGTAGCTGAAGTGACCAGTAGCAGAACATAGTGAATAGTGAAAGTCTTAGCTAGCCGAAAAAAGTGGTAACTGACATTCGCAGTTACATATAGTGAAAGTGCCACAACATCCACTTACGATCAGATGTACTGTGTGCTTGTTTGTCACCATTATTCTAAATAAAAAAAGTTATCTGGGCTATATTTTATTCCAAAATCTTGGAGTCTTTTTAAAAATAAAATGTAAAATCGATAAAATAAATGGTGTTTGATTATCTTAATCTGAAAATAAAGCTACATTAATAGATTATATCGTGGCAAAGCCGGGCCGCATCGCCAGTATAAAATGAACTGGGGATTTAGTAGTTAAGTTAATGAATTAAGTGGTTAACTTAATTACTAATCACTTGATACTACTAGTAGTAGAGAGGAAAGTAAAACACAATTTTAAAAAAAATCAGTGTCTCAGATGGACATATGAAAAACACCAAGTCTTAATAATAGTTAATAGTTTATTGAGATTCCTTTATAGCACACCATTTTAGAGAATTGTTGTCTATCATGAGAAAAAAGAGAGAATTTTTTATTCCATCCTCTGTGGTGCCAATCGGAGGCAGATCCCAGCCATGGTTTGGTCGCTCCTGTAAAATAGCATCACTATATAAGCAGGAGTGTTACCGTCGGTACCCGTGTATTCTGGTCTCCCGCCAAGGCTGTGCAAGGGAACTTCTGTCAGCCATCTCTCCATCTCTGCACAGAGAGAACGACTCACTGGCCCATGCCGCAAAGGAGGAAGCCGATCTTTTAAGCTCCTTCTTTGCGTCCAACTCGACTCTAGATGACGGGGGAAACACTGATGTACACAGCTCTTGTTTCGTAAAGCACTCTTCTCCCTGGACGTCAGCAAGTCGAGTGGGCCTGATGGAGTCCCTCCCATTGGGCTGAAGACGTGTGCTCCAGAGTTGGCACCGGTTTTAACGCGTCTTTTCTTCCGGTACTCCTACTCCAAAGGCGTAGTCCCGAATTCACGGAAAACAGCTTTGGTCCACCCGATCCCTAAAAAAGGCGACCGCTAAGATCCGGTCAACTACAGGCCTATCGCCATCACTTCCTTGTTCTCCAAAATAATGGAATCCATTATAAACTGCTACCTCATGAGGTACTTTGAGGATCACCAGCTGATTAGTGACCGCCAGTACAGTTTTCGTCGGGGTCGATCAGCTGGTCATCTTCTGGTCTACCTGACTCATAGATGGGCGGAGGCAGTAGGGTTTAAAAGGGAGTCATTGGCCGTTAGTTTGGACATAGCGAAAGCCTTCGATCGGGTGTGGCACAAAGCGCTTCTTTCGAAGCTTCCTTCCTATGGGCTTCCTGAGAAATTGTGCAAATGGATCACCAGTTTCCTTGCTGATCGGAGCATCAAGGTTGTAGTAGACGGTGCATGCTCTGATTTCAAGCCTATCAACGCTGGTGTTCCACAAGGCTGCGTGCTATTACCAACGCTGTTTCTCCTGCATATCAATAACATGTTGCAAACTAGTAACATTCGTTGATAAGCAGACGACAGCACTGGTGATGACTTAAATACCGGCCGTGCCAATTTTTCTCGGGAAAACGTCGCCGAGGACCGCGACAAACTTGTGTCTGAAGTTTGCTTTACAAACAAAGTCTCGGATTGGGGGTGACTAAATCTAGTCCAGTTCAAGTTTGCGCGTTTACCGCTAAAAAGAACCCCTTTGTCGAATTTCCTCAGTTTCAAGGCACTCCCCTTGCTGCCTCAGAGTTGCTAGCATCGGAATCCTCGGTGTCGACATATCGAATAGTGTGCAGTTTCGTGGTCACTTGGAAGGGAAGGCCAAATTGGCCTCTAAATATCTTGGCGTGTTCAGCAGAGCGAGACAGTATTTCATGCCGGCACATCGCTTGCAACTTTATAAAGCGCAAATCCGACCTCATATCGAATACTGTTCTCATCTCTGGGCCGGGGCACCCCAGTGCCAGCTCCTTCCACTTGACCGCATCTAGCGCAGAGCGGTTCGAATCGTCGACGACCGAGTTCTTTCTGATCGGCTCGATATACTGGCACTGCGTAGGGATGTTGCATCCCTTTGCATTTTCTATCGAATTTACCACTGGGAGTGCTCTGAGGAATTGTTCGGATTAATTCCAGCCGCCAAATTTCACGAACGCACATCGCGTCAAAATTTACAATACCATCCTCAGCATCTGGATGCTTGGCGGTCCAAGACTTTGTACTAGGAGTTTTCTTCCTCGTATAATTTTTCTGTGGAATTGTTTACCACCGGCGATTTTTCCGGACCAATACGACTTAGGGACCTTCAAGAAAAGAGTTTACACCTTTCTAAAAGGCCGACAACACATCTGCAATTCCCATGGTTTTGCGGTTGTTCATGGGGGCGGCGGTAGTCACTTACCATAAGGTGAGCCGCATGCTCGTTTGTTCCCTCTTCTATAAAAAAAGCAATGTGACGGTAGTGACACAATTATTTATTAACAAAAATAATAAGTGCCTGTGGAATTTTAATACCACCTAATTGCAGTGGTGGGCGTTAACAATCATCGTTACAAATCTTTATTTATATCTCCCGCTTCTCCATTTCTGTTTAGTAGATGAAGGAGTTCTTATCCAGTCTTTCCTCATTCATCTTCTCCACAACCCAGCCGTAGATGAAGGGTACGTTCACGTATACACCTGGAACGTCACTCCTCCCGCATCCAATTCCTGACGAGACAATCCCGAATATTGCGTACCGGGTGTCTTTTTTGGGATCCTGTAAAAAATAGTGTTATAATTGTCTTTGTGTGTGTTCTTTTTTATAGAATAAGGGTGACAAACGAGCAGACATCTATATCTATCATCGATTTCGTACGTGGTAGAGCCATGCTGTAGCTATATTAGTAGTATAGTTGTAGCACGAATGGGTCGGCTCGACCGGGGAAGGACCACGCTCTCACAGAATACCAGCATAAAATAGCAGCTTGATGCTGCTGTGTTTCGTATGGTGAGTGTAGAGAACCGGAGACTCTATTTACTGGATACGAGGCATTCCATCTCAGTCTTTAGGGGTGACAACGAATCTGCATTTTGATTCTTAATCGACGATAGATGTAGATGTCTACGGGCTACAGCATCCACTTACCATCCAGGTGGACTGTGTACTCGATTGTCACCGTTATTCTATAATAAAAAAAAAACAATAAAAGCGCTCACCTCAATACTGCAAACAAGGGGTGAACCGCCATCACCCTTACAAGTGTCGACTCCGGTCTCACCGCCCGCACAGATCAGGGACGGATGGAGAAGGAACCGGGAGCCCAGTCTGGTGTTACGTAGGCTGTGCTGGCATTTGTCCGAGTCAATAAGCGGCAGTTTTATCTAAAAAAAATATTTTACGATATTCAAAGCCGTTGTAGTTCAGGCTTAACGCTCGCTGTAAATTTCACAGTACGCGAGCAATCTGGGGGCAATCCCCGACGACACCAATGAAATTGTAAATTGCAATTTTAAGTGCTGATTTACTACTCGTGCTCAGCGGTGAAGGAAACCTGCATGTCTGAGGAATAAAAAAAAATATTTTGAAGACATGTGAAGTTCGCCAACACGCATTAGGTCAGCGCGGCGACATTTCCTTGTCCTAAAACCGTTTCAGAACTCAGAAACTCAGAAGTGAGAGGAGGCCCGTGTCCAGCAGTGAGACTGGGACGTATATATAAAGATGAGACGTATTTACGCTACCAGGTTTTAAAACCAGGTATTCACTTCAAAGTACGGCGCCCTGGTACGAGCAAAAAATACTTGCAAGTATGAAAATACTTGCATAGGAAAATCATCCATATCTCAATAGTAGTAAGGAACTCAATCGTATTTGTTAACGAAAAATACTTAGTACTTCAAAGTATTTTTTTTATTTATACGACTTTGCTCCTTATTCATAGTAGGATAACATGGAATACGGGTGAAATTCCTATGCAAGTATTTTCAAATTTTGACACCACGGCTGGACACGTCCCTCGCGTCGCAATGAGACGTATTTACGCTACCAGGTTTTAACTTTAAAGTACGGCGCCCTTTTACGACCAAAAATACTTGCAAGTATGAGAATACTTGCATAGGAAAATGATCCATATCTCAATAGTAATAAGAAACTCAATCGTATTTGTGAATTAAAAATACTTTGAACTTGAAAGTATTTTTTTTATTTATACGAATTTGCTCCTTAGTCATAGTAGCCTAACATGGAAAACGGGTCAAATTCCTATGCAAGTATTCTTCCTTATATATTACTATACTCTTTGCAAGTATTTTCAAACTGACACCGCGGCTGGACACGTCGCGTAAGTAGCTAGTAAGTAATAAGAATTATGTTTATATTCGGGGAAGTAAAAGTTTTGTTTCGATTTCTTGTAAATTCAATTATTATTGTGAACTGATTACGTAACCTACTGAGCGTGACCTAATATTTAAATAGTTATTTCGCGTGTATATTGAATTTAGAGACAGTTTTAAAACTTTTATTTATTAAGAGTCCTAAGCCGAAAAGTAGGAAGGAAAGATTTCATTTCGTTACCAAAAAAAATTTAAAAAGGTACAGTATAAATTTTGGCCCGAATCAAATTAGGCATTCATATATATATTGACATTAACAAATACTTTCAAGTATTTTTAAAACCTGGTTTTCGACCCTGGTATTTTTCCATACTCGTACTTAGAAGCCCTGGTATTCAATTTTGCAAGTATGTCTCATCTCTATATATAGGTTGGAACTTTACTATAATACTTCTTTACTGATTTAAACTTCATTATTTATGACATCATCATCATCCAGTCGTAACCTAATGTTTGATCTCTGCCCAAGCCCCAAGAGTTGATTTAATGATTAATAATTAATACTTTGGATCACATACAGCAGTAACATATGACACACAAGGTCACACTAAGGAACTCACGAATCGATGCCAACAATCCCACAGCCCTTAAGCAAACCGTGTGTATCAAACAACATCACGACACAAATAACGCCCAACGCCATCTGTTGGCGACAACGCAAGCCAATCCGAACACCTAATCTAACCTATCTTTTTAGTAACTACTCTGCCAAATAAGTAACGGACTTTATTCAGTTATATTAACAGTTTTTATCATACATCATATCAATAGTTATACATTTCATAATTTATAGGTGGTAGGGTCATGCTGCAGCTATATTATAGTTGTAGTACGAATTACGAGGGGTCGGCTCGACCGGGAAAGCACCACGCTCTCACAAAATATCCGCGTAAAATAGCAGATTAAGGCTGCTGTATTTCGTATGGTCAGTGTAGAGAACCAGATACCCCTTTTACTAAGAACAAGGCATTCCATCTTAGACTTCAGGGGTGGCAACGAATCTGAATTATGAATCTCAATCGAGGATAGATGTAGATATATAAGCCACATCATCTACTTACCATCAGGCGAAATGTCTGCTCGTTTGTCACCCTTCTATAAACAATCACTTAACTCCTTACCTTCTTGAGAGTAGTGGCGTATTTGCCATTAAACTCTTTCCCCCAGCCCATGGTGATGCACATGGTGCCTGGTGCAGGGATTGTCTTGCCCAGACAGCCCACGCCAATGTGAGGCGAGTCACGAAATGCGAAAGGTTTCTCCAAGAACAGCAGGGCCACGTTGTAATAGGCTTGTACTGGAAATTAAGTTCAGATTAATGTTTATTTGTTTATTTATTAGGTGGGCCCCGCGTCTTCATCCGCGTGGAATATATCGCGATCGAATTTCGTGGATTTAAAGATTCTTGTTATAAGTGTTACCGCAAGATTTGTTACGCATTTACTAAAAAGCTGTTATTGCATGCCTAAAGCGCAAAGCGCGTAGGATGATCTACTAGGGCCTAAACATCAAGATTCTAACGTTTTGTCGCATGAAATCGTATCTAACAATCATATTGTACATATAAATGTTATAAAAATCACATTATCAGAAAGATAAATTATTGTTGAACTTATTTTTTTTAAATCGATTAATTGCTATTTTTACATAAAGAAGTAGTTTTTGTGGCTTATGGTGTGGATTTATCAAGTCCGCTGTAGGCGTAAATAACGATAACTTTTGAAAATATCAATTGTTTAACTCAATCTATTTTATAATCGCTTCATCTATCATGTCGGAAGCTATAGAATGTAAATGGCAGTTTAATTTTGTTTTACTTAGTTATAATTATTTCTTTTTCAGCTGAGAGATCACGAAATTTTCGGTGTTTTGAGCACCCTTTAGTAAATTATTTTACTAAATAGACTGCCTTACTCACTCACTTCGGGCTCAGCCGCCGTTGTGAGTGCATACTGTATCTGTTGTTTACAGCGAGCGGCTCGTGCTCATAAATATCGGTGGACAAATTAAAAATATTCGAATAACGAAATCTGATACATACATGATTATTATTATTATCACACATTTGTATTAAAATATTTTAAAAGCACAGAATAAATAATAGTACTACGTACCAAAAGTAAGTAGGATTTATATATAAATATCCTTAAATACGTCGTGGATTATAACGAGTAACCTAAATGATGATTATGATGATCATACGGGTATGACCATTATGAGTCGTGCACTTTTGGATTTTGCAAACTTTTTTTAATTGAAGTTTGACATAAAATTTATCAGAAAATTGGAAGTATAACAATAAGGTTCTTAGTGAAAACTTGCGTGTATTTAAACTACTTTAAAAAAAATTTAACGCGTAAGCCATGCACAATTGGATTTACCTACCAATAGGTTTTTTTTTGACATTACAAACAGATACTTAAATTTTATTTATCTATATAGATACTCGTAGATGGATATTAATCATAGATTTATGCTTATTTATTTATTTACTAGTGCCCGCCCCGACTTCATCTGGATAGGAGATATAAATGTGGCGTTATTTAGATTTAAAGTAATCAAAGACCATTTTCTACCGACTTCAAAAATGAGTAGGTACTGAATTCAACTGTATGTTCTTTTTTATGTGTGTTACCTGATTGGAGATCAGTTCAGAACAGTATTTCAGCTCAATTTTTCAACCTGATACTCCGTGGTTAAATGCAGAGGCAGCGGAGCGCGAAGCAATGTACGCAGACTGTGTAACCAATGTTAGTATTAACATTATTAAAGCTTCTGATCTGCGAAGGACAATACGCCGTCTTAAGGCATCGGCAGCTTGAGGCCCTGATAACCTGCGTTTTAATAAAGCCCTGTATGGTAGTTTTAGAGGAACTGTTACTGTATGTCTACAATCTTTCACTTCAACAATGTCTCTATCCCAAAGCATGGAGAGTGTCCAGGGTAACTCCTGTACCTAAAAGTGGTTCGTCCATTGTTATTACGCGCCGACAATTGGCATTTAATAATTACCCGTAATTTGAGAATAGGACGTCGAAGGCAGCCCATAGCTGCACGTACGTTATTAGGGTGGGTAATTCAGGGAACCGTGCCGCGGTTAATGTGTAGGGAAAACGGCGAGACCGTATTACACGTAGCGAGCACTAGCGGACAGTTAGATAGGGACATCTGAACATTTGCCAGTCAGGACGAGAAGCTAACGGAACTCCTCAAACGGCAGTATGAGATAGATTTCATAGGTATCTCGCTAAAGAGTAGGCCGCGACAGGAAGAGGAGCGCGCTGTCGACATATTCCAGTGCACCGTCAAGAAGGTCGGCGAGCAATACCAAGTTGGCCTGCCATGGAAGGTCGACAACATGCGGATGCCACCCAGCTACGAAATGGCAGCTCGAAGACGGACGATTGAAAGGAAGATGGACCAGTCGCCGGAGTTTCGTGACGCCTACACAGCCCAGATAGACAACCTCCTGCCGAAAGGATACGCAAGGGAAGCCGAGGGGACGGAGAGAGAGTACACCAAGAGCTGGTACCTGCCACACTTCGCAGTGCGGAACCCGAACAAGCCAGGGAAGACGAAAGTAGTATTCGACGCGGCAGCGCGCGCATCCGGTAGACGTGTTAATGACTATTTACTCGACGGCCCCGACTTATTACGGCACTTACCGGGCATACTGTTTCGGTTTAGAGAGAATGAGATAGCCGTGTCCGCGGATTATTATGGAAATGTTTTTACGTGTGAAAATCGACCGTCGCAACCAACCCGCGCAATTGTTTCTATGGCGAGGAAACGAGCGATATAGCCCACCGCGGGAGTACGTTATGACGTCAATGATTTCCGGCGCGAGAAGCTCGCCGTTTCTCGCACATAGTGTTAGAGATTATAACGCGCGCGCACACACAGAGACACACCCGTTGGCGCTTAACGCTATCGTACGTAGTCATTATATGGACGACTATTTAGACAGCTATGCAACGGTAGAGGAAGCGGTAAACACAGCGAGGCAGGTTACAGAAGTGCACCAGAAGGCCGGCTTCACCTTGGCAGGCTAGAATTCCAATCACGCAGCGCTACTGGAAGACAAGCCGGAGGAACTACTGGCGCGCAAGCCTAAGGAAGTAGGCCTAAGGCAAGACAGCCCAGGCAGAACCCTAGGGTTGTTGTGGATGGCCGACAAAGACGCCCTTACCTTCAACACATCGATGAATAGGGTGCCGCAGGAAGTAAAGGCGTTACAGCGACCACCGACCAAGAGGGAAGCATTAGGCGCGGTCATGTCGGTGTTTGACCCGCCCGGACTGCTCAGCTACCTCACCATCACCGCCAAGATCCTGCTACAAGAACTATGGCGTATGTAGAAGTTCGGATGGGATGACGAACTACCCGAGGAGGCAGCGGATAAGTTCCAGAGGTGGCTGCGAGTCGTCGAGGAGGTGTCACGACTGTGACTGCCAAGGTGCTATGCTCCTACGGGGGGAGTGGTAGAGCGTCAACTTCACGTATTTAACGACGCAAGCGAACGTGCGTACGCATCCGCGACATATTGGCGTATACGATACAGTGACGGAACGGTTAGGGTACGATTAGTGACGGCCAAGGCGAAAGTCGCTCCGATTAAGGCGCAGAGTATACTGCGACTAGTTGAGAGAGAAGCGAAGAGTTGCAGGCGAGTTTGATAGGCGCGCGGCTCGCGGAATTCGTATAAGGCGAACACAGAGTGGTAGCAGGTAGGGTCGTATATTGGACGGACTCTACTACGGCACTCCACTGGATACAGAATGATACGGCGCGTTACACTCCATACGTGGCTCATCGGTTAGGGGAGATAGCTGAAAAGACATCACCCGAGAAATGGAGGTGGGTACCGACTGCGGAGAACATAGCAGATCAGGCAACGCGCATGAACTTCGTGAGCAATGAAGAAAGCGACCAATGGTTCACAGGACCGTCATTTCTTTACGAGGACGAAGACAGATAACCTCACCGGAAGGAAGAAAAGGCAGGGGATGATGAAGAGTTGGAGGAAATAGTGGCGCACCAGAACGACACCAAGGACGCTCCACACCTGCCAGACATAGAACGATTCTCTTCTTACGAGAGATTGGTCAGGGCCACAGCACGAGTACTGCATTTCATCGATACCATACGAAGAAGGGCACAAGGACTGACATTGCAGCACATGCAGAGGGCAGAGCGGATGTGGATAGAACGCAGTGAACTCGACAGCTTCGCTGAAGATATCAGCCGCCTTCAGCGGGGAAGAACCTGCCCACCGGCAGCGCACTTAGGAAGCTCGACCCCATACTGGAAGATGGAATACTAAGAGCCAGGGGAAGAATCGACGCAGCCGACGTGGACGGCCAGATGAAGGGATCCGTCATACTGAATGGACGCCACCAATTCGTGAAGCTGCTCATAGAGAAGGCGCATCAGGAAGCAAGCCACGCCAACAGACAGAGAGTGGTCAACGACCTACGCACCAGATTTCATACCCTCCGACTACGGCCGACCGTACGAGAAGTGGAGCGGAGATGTCTGCGATGCAGGGTACGCAAGGCGACACCACGGTCAGCGGTTACCGGAGACCTACCACCCGAACGGTTAGGGGCGTTTGTGTGACCGCTTACTTACACTGGAGTCGACTATTTCGGGCCTTTGATAGTTACGATAGGACGACGGCACGAAAAACGGTGGGTAGCACTTTTAACGTGCTTAACGACGCGCGCGGTTCATTTAGAGCTAGTTTACTCCCTAACAACGGACTCGGCGATATCGGCATTGCGGCGCATGGCGGCTAGGCGTGGGTGGCCGCGAGTCATATACTCCGATAACGGTACAAATTTTCATGGAGCAGATGCAGAGCTACAACGGGCGATGTAAGAGTGGGCACTGCAGCTGAAGGACTACGCGCTGACTCGGCGAAACGAATGGAAATTCGTCGCACCGGGTGCGCCTAACCAGGGAGGCGCATGGGAGCGTCTAGTGTACTCAGTGAAGACCGCACTCGAAGCCACTCTACATCAAAAGAGCCCACGGGAGAGCGGCGCAGGGGCTCGCCGACGAGTACTGGAGGCGCTGGGTGAAAGAGTACCTGCCGACGCTGGTTGCGCGCGGGGACTCCCGAGATGTTCAGCAGCGCCAAATACAAGAAGAGGACGTCGTCGTGGTTGCAGATAGCAACCTGCCAAGAAATGTGTGGCCGCGGGGTATCGTGACGAAGACATTTCCTGGACAAGATGGCGTGGTTCGCAACGTCGAAGTCAAGACCAAGGGCAGAGTGCTGCGGCGGCCCGTCAGGAAGATCTCCGTCCTCCCGAGGGAAGCTTAGGCTCGCAGGCTACGCCGGGGGGAGGATGTAGCGGACAGCGAAGGAGGCCGTCGCCCCTTCACACCCCAGTGCGCCCTGCGCACCCCGCACACAGGCAGCAGATCACGCGATGTCGCCGACCAATCAGCGCGCGGCATCGCCTTACGACGCTACTCACGAACCGAGATGTTCTCTTGCGGGATATAAGAAGGGCGTTTTGGTCTGTGAGTTGTTCATTTCGGAAGCGGCACTCGAAGAGAAGAAACAGCAAGAGAAATCAAGAAGAATCAAGACTCCAGAGAAATCCAGAAGACTCCCCTCTGTATATAGTGTAGTTTATAGTGCCACATTGTAAATAGTTTGAATACAGTATAGTGCTACAGTACCATCTTTTCTTTAAGCAGTCCCCTAGCGTAGTCATACAGTCCACTTGCAAGTAAATTAATACAGTCCATGTTCGATCCCTAATACCATGTAATACTAAGTCGGTTAATTTATTCATTCCCTACTTAAGGGTCCTGCTGTCTTACGTTATTACGTATTAGCTAACCTAATAACATCTTATAGTGACCACATCAATACTAATTTTTTTAAATATTTTAATTAAATACATTGACTTGCACATCGCATGGAAACACAATGTATCTGTCAAGTAATACATATTGTATTAAATTAGATTGTATAGTGCGATTGTCAAGTCAATTTATTTATTTAAAACATTAAAAAAATACTTATTGATATGGTCACTATAAAATGTTGTTACGTTAGCTAATTACGTACTAAGTAAAGATCCTTCTACCTTTAAGTAGGGACTGATTAAATTAACCGAACTGGTATTACATGGATCACACAACTTTTTACAGTAGAAGAACTGAGTTGCGAGACTTGGTTTTTTTACAAGTTATGTTTTTGATGGCATCTCATTTCTTTTTGTAGATATATAAAATATCTAGGTACCTATCTACACTTATTATTCCATTATATTATACATATACAGGTACACTGATTTATTCACTGCAAATGTAACTTTGTAATCCTATATATTTATGTGGGATTACAAAGTTATTTATGTATCTTGAAAACTGGACCGTAATTGCAAAATATTTTAGTTTTTCGTTGATTTATATACACTAAACAATAATTGTATTCCAATTTTGAAGCTTCTATGTCTGCTAGAAGTGCCTTAGAGTTTTGATGATCGGTCAGTCAGTGAGTGACAAAATTAAGAAACTTTGACTAGTTATAATTCTTAAACTACTGCTTTAAATTAAATGAAATCTGAAATATACCGAGTTTATACAATGCCTACTTGGTTATTTCTATAAATTCAGGCTTCAAATTTATCCATAACGAAGTTATAGGGTTTCGAAAATGTCCTGAACTGCGTCGAGAAAAGGACCATGGGACAAAGGGCCGTGCCGCTTTTTTGACCCTCAGATAATCGGTTCAGCCATTCCGTTGATTAACACAGACAATTATTTAAAAAAAATGATTATTTATATTTTACTAGCATGCAAATAAATTAAACGAGCCTTAGGACTAAGATAGAATACTTGTATGCCTCATTACAAGTACAAAAGGTCTCCTTGGGTCCTCTGTACTCACCATACGAAACACACCAGCATTATGCTGCATAACGTTGGTATTCTGTCAAAGCTTGCTATTCTTTCAGGTCGAGCCGATCTATACGTGCTGCAACCATAATGAAGGTGCAGCGTAGATCTACCACGTGAGAAAAATCTCTCTTGATCTATTAAAATTAAAAATAAATAATATATTTGTGGCTTACATCTAAAGAAATCATCGTGCGTGACGATCTTTCTAACTCGCCGTTCTTGTGACGGATACAACTCGGAGTCGTCCTGCGTGTCCCACTCACCAGCTCGGCACTTCACCTGGAAGTATTAGGGTCAAGCCATTCCTCATTTTATTACGATAACAAGTTTGATGACATGATTTCGGTTACAAAACAAAGATCAGTGTTGAAATATTGTGTCAGTACCAAGCATAAGCATAAATATATAACTCCGTATATATATGACGGCACGTGCACCATTGCACGTGCGGCGGCGTCGGTGTAGCTAGACAGAATTCTTGTAAATAACACGTGCTCCGCACACCTGCACCATTGCACCTGCGGTGGCGCCCGTTTAGCTTGTATAAAACGGACGGTGCTGCCGCCCATTAGGACAGTCTTGCCTCTGACGTGGAACGGTGCGCTTGTCGTATTCCGTTACTAGTTTATCCTCGAATCGTTGGATAATTAATTAGTGTAAACGAATTAATTATTATTCCTAACTACAAAATCAGTCTCTGTACTATACCCACTATACTTCCTATATATATATATATTGAGTTATATATTTATGTTTTCATAACCTAATTACGGTACCGGCATTTTCTCCACACCATGGGTTGACTGGTAGAATGCTAACTAGATATGCATATTTGCACTATAAAGTTTTAAAATAAATAAAATTACATATATCCACCTCATGTTCAAAAAGGCCATCAACTTTGTGTGCTGCGGTGATCACAACTGAAGGATGGATGATGGAACCGCCTCCGAGATAATCCGCCTGTGACCAGTCAACATCTGGAGCAGTATTTCTAAAACATTAAATCAAGTTTTCATCATCATTGTTAACCATCACCATCGTGGCTCGTTCCTAACTTATCCAGCTAAAGGAAAATCCAATGACAGTCGCTTCCACCGATTCCATGCGACTTTATTTATTTCCAAAGATTCCTATGTATACTGCCATATGATTAAAGCGTTAGGGTCTATATTCGCATAGCATGTGGCGCGGAAAAAATATAGCTTGTCTTAGCTAAAATGACGCGCCCCACTATCACACAGGCAAGGTTTAAGGCCCGCCACATATATACGGAATTCCGTTTCGGAATTCCGAACGGGTCGGCCACACACATACGGAATCCCGTTTTGCCCGCAGAATTCGACCGAAAAATTACCGTACGTGTATGACGGGTCAATATATTTTATATGGACTTGCTGCGTTCGGAATTCCGAATCAAAATATCGAAACGGAATCCTGAAACGGAATTTCGTATGTATATGGCCGGCCTAAATACGGTCGCTATAAATATAAAAATGCCACTGCAAGGCCGGCCACATACATACGGAATTTCGGTTTGGGATTCCGTTCTGGAATTCCGAATGGGTCGGCCACACACATCCGGAATCCCGTTTCGTCCGCAAAATTTCGAGCGGAAAACTACCGTACATGTGTGACGAGTCATATATTTTATATGAACTTGCTACGTTCGGAATCTCGAATCGGAATATCGAAACGGCATCCCGAAACAGAATTCCGTATGTATGTGGCGGACCTAATTGGTCAATCAGTTAGCGAGAAGCTATGTTCTCGGACTTGTTGGTCAACTAGTCATAAATGACCTGAACGTGTAAGAGAGCGGACCTATTGTTTCATATAATGCGACAGCGCTGCAGTGATGATTGACACAGATACACAGATAAAGTTTATGTTATGACCGTTTAGAAAATGCACACCATGTCGCGGATTGTGTTTCGGCTACACGGATTACAACCAAGCGCCAACACGATCGAGCTTCACTGTGAATCGCGCTCGCGTAGAAATAAATTGTAGAAATGGCTCCAAATTTCAAAAGGTGAGTCTTGCTTTATCAGTTTTGTGCGCATACGAAGACGGAAAACAAAAAAAGAAAATAAATTTTAGTCCAACTCTTTGTACTTTTGGACTAATATCTCCCAAGTGGTCATCTTTTGACGACGAGCATCTTTATAAGTTTCGGACATAATATCCTCTATAGAAATCGATTAATTCACTTATAATTTCGCGTTCGCTTTACTGTTCCTTGGATGACACTTTGCACCCGCATATATGCACACTCGCTTGGCTTGGGAAAAAAATATCAATATATCGATATTTTTGCTCAAAAAAATTTTTTTTATTGTATTAATGTAAATGTAAATGTTGTATTAATGTACAAAACATGAAACACCAAAATGAGTTACAAAAGCATTGATGCGTGGTTGTCTTTTTTTTTCGTCCAACCGTCACTAATCTATACTATATTAATATTATAAAGCTGCAGTGTTTGTTTGTTTGTTTGTTTAAACGCGCTAATCTCTGGAACTACTGGTCCGATTTGAATGATTCTTTCAGTGTTGGGTAGTCCATTTATCGAGGAAGGCTATAGGCTATGTTTTCTTTTTTCAAAATTAGGGATCCGTAATAAAATTGCTATTTTGTAACACAAGGTGTAAAATCGAAAACCTATTTTTGCGTGCGCTGCAAAAACTATTGACAATAAAACAAAATGATGTACTACGGGTTTGTAGATCCCATTAAGACCTACAAAAAAGTCCGCGAGAACATATATCTAGCTATCATGGTTTAATTACAATAACCGATTTTGTGTTCAAATTAATTATTAAATCGTCTGAAGAAAAAAACACTACGTGAAATATGTATCGTAATAATAATCTTTATCGAAATTAAGCATTATGTTATCAAGAGTATTTATGTAGAAGTAAAATACTTTTTGTTTCATCTCAATCGGATATTTCGTGAGTTATGGACCATAGAGTTTTTTATCAACATAAAATCCTGTATTAATCTTTTTCGAAATATAGTAAGTAAGATCTTTGAAGAGTATAATAAATACATTTCTAAAATAACTCTGCTAAGGAGGAAATCCACGCGCGCTTGATGCAAGCAATACGAGACGCTGCCGGCGCGGCGGCGGGCGAGACCGCCTGTCGCTCCCCCCCCCCCCCCCCCCCCCCCCGCCGCCGCACTGCCCGCGTGTTTTGGTTTACAAGGTACCATGCCGCGCGGCTCAGACGCGTGGTCGGCTCCTTACGGAACGGTTGAATGCAGCGTTGCGTTTTTTGAAGTCATTTACGATCGTTCCTTTGACATATATTTCATACGACTTTTAATAATTACTCACCTTACGTTTCTTTTACCTGATTACTACGTTTCAGTTTATTTTAATTAAGTTTTAATTTTATACGGTTTTTCTTTTATCTCTTTACTATTATGCCTAGAAAAAGAACTCAGCTTTCTAGGCAGACTGCTACTGCAATGAAACACCCGAAGAAAATCTGCACAGGTTGGCTACTCAACGAGCGATCAGTGAACAAAACCGTTTTAGGGAATCGAGTGTTGAACGTTCGCAGCGGTTAGTCTCACAAAATATCCGTACTTCGGCGAATCGACAACGGGAATCAAGTGCAGAACGTTCTCAACGTTTAGCCGCACAAAATTCCCGAACTTCGGCAAATCGCGAACGGGAATCAAGCGCTGAACGTTCTCAACGTTTAGCTACACAGAATTCCCGCACTTTAGCAAACCGGCAACGGGAATCAAGCGCTGAACGTTCTCAACGTTTAGCTACACAGAATTCCCGCACTTTGGCAAACCGGCAACGGGAATCAAGCGCTGAACGTTCTCAACGTTTAGCTACACAGAATTCACGCACTTCGGCAAACCGGGAACGGGAATCAAGTGCTGAACGTTCCCATCGATTAGCACAGCAAAATGCACGAACAGCAGGGAACAGAACTCGCAGGCAATATAATTTATTGAATTTAGCATTTGCTTATGAGTATACCCTTGACTATGCTGAGCTAAATGGTACTAATATTTGCAGAATGAATAAAATATGTAATTCATGTCAAGCAAAAAAATGGCCGGCTGAAGCCCCTGGACTGTGTTGTAGTGGTGGCAATGTAAATATTCCTAAAATTCCAGCACCAACGTCAATTCTTAAAGATCTAATATCAGGCTCACATCCATCTTCTAAGCATTTTTTAAATCACTCTAGAAAATATAATACTCTGTTTCAGATGACTTCATTTGGTGCCAAAGAAATTCGTGAAGGAAAATTTATGCCCACTTTTAAAGTCCAGGGGCAAGTTTACCATCTAATCGGTAATTTACTTCCACCTGAAGGCGCACAACCCGAATTTTTGCAAATATATTTTATTTCCCATACAGATCAGGTATCTTTACGCTCAAATTTAAACCCAACGTTAAAAACCGATCTTATCGACGCTCTCCAAACATATCTTCACGATCACAATACTTATATTCAAAGTATTAAATATAATCTCGAAAACAGACCAACCAATGATTTTAAACTTATCATTCATGCTGATGTGAAACCTCCTAATGAACATCGAGGTCGATATAACGCGCCCATGGTAGATGAAGTAGCTGTTCTTTTAATAGATGAAGACAAAGGTCCCCGAGATATAGTGTTAAATACTAGAGACGGGCGCCTTCAGCGAGTTTCTGAAATACATAGATCTTATGACCCACTTCAATATCCTTTACTGTTTCCCTTTGGAAATGACGGATATTGTACAAATATTCCACAGCAAAATACTGCTGCTAGATCTAAAACTATATCATGTATGCAGTTTTATGCATTTAGACTCATGGTGAGAATAAATGACTTTAACAGCATACATTATTTCAAAGGATTATTTAATCAATACTGTGTTGATATGGCGGCAAAAATGATTTCTGAGAGGCTTGACTTCATAAAACGAAATCAAAAAAAATTAAGAGCAGCAGAGTACATTCATTTAAGAGATGCCGTGGTTAATGATGGCAATGTAGACGCTTCTAATGTTGGCCAGCACGTTATATTGCCATCGTCATTTACAGGATCTCCTAGATACATGAATGAAAAAAGTGAAGATGCCATGATCTATGTTAGGAAATTTGGAAGACCAGATCTCTTTATAACATTCACATGTAACTCCGAATGGCCAGAAATAAAAATTGAGTTACTACCCGATCAAAATTCTTACGACAGACATGATTTGATTTCTAGAGTATTTCATTTAAAACTAAAAAAAATGATAGACCTATTAACGAAGAAAAATATAAAAAAAAATATAAAAATATAAAAAAAAAATATATTTGGACCATGGAAAGCCTTCGTTTATAGTGTAGAATGGCAAAAAAGAGGTTTACCTCACGCTCACATTTTGTTGTGGCTGGCTAACAAAGTGCAACCGGATTCCATAGATGCAATAATATCGGCTGAAATACCTGACAAACAACAAGACCCAATGCTTTATAACATTGTCATAAAAAATATGATACATGGGCCTTGCGGATTTCACAATCCTGCGTCACCATGTACGAAAGAAAACATTTGCTCTAAAAAATACCCCAGGCAGTTTATTTCTGAAACACAAACCGGGGATGACGGTTACCCAACCTACAAGCGCCGTTCACCAGATAATGGTGGAAACACCGCAATAATTCGTGTCAAAGGTACAGAAATGAGAGTGGATAATAGGTGGGTTGTTCCCTATAACCCTGTGCTATCACGAAGTTTCAATGCACGCATTAACGTAGAGTTTTGCCAATCGGTCAAAGCCATTAAGTACATCTGTAAGTATATCCATAAAGGTTCTGATCAAGCCACATTTTCGTTACAAAATAATAACGATGAAGTAGAAAAATATTTAAATGGTCGCTATATAAGTTCCTCGGAAGCACTCTGGAGAATTTTCCAATTTCCGATTCATGAACGTTTTCCGGCAATAGTTCATTTAGCAGTTCATTTAGAAAATGGACAAA